GGAAAAAAAAAAAAAAAACCCTTCCAATGGCTCTACCCTTCCCTCCCTGGTCCCTGGGGCTCCCATCCCCCGATAGAACTAGCGGGCCCTGAACCCATTACCCCCAACACTTGAGGTCCTGACTGTCGCCACCTATAGGGCGCTTACAGTGCCCTGCAGAACAGTTCAGGGGTCCCAAACGCAAGCCATTTCCACGCGCGGGTCTCCAGAACTCACAAACCATGGCTCAACTCTTTCTGAATCATTGACCATGCCCACCCATGGAGTTCTCCCCAGTCTTGCGAAATGGCTTCCAGGTTCTTCCAAGATGTCTAGGTCCTACTGCCCAATACTTGCAGACCCCCTGAGCCTGATTTCCTCGGCCTTCAACCACCCATAACCCCTCTACTCTTTCTTTTCTCCTCCACATGGAGTCCCTGGCTCTCCAGACCCTCAGCCACTTTCAGACCCCCACATGTCTTCCAATTCCGCCAGAGTGCTTCCAACCAAGGCAGCAGCTCCTAGTTGGAACCCTCCTCCCCCACTTGGAGACTTTTGCCCTGCCCAGCCCAGCCCAGCCCAGCGACTGGGCTGGATAGATTTCTCTCCTGCGTAAGAGTACAGAGCAGTTTGGACCTAGGGACTCTTTCCTAGCCCTAAATTATCATTTACTGACTTCTGTCCCCAGGGGGGAGCAGTGTGGAACTAATCTCGCTTCTGCTTCTCCTCCTTTGGTCTAGCTTTTAACTTCTGCCCTTTATTGCTCACTCTTAAGAGTTATCACCATGGCACCTGCCATACCAGAGAACCAAAACACAGCCCTTAGATACCATCTAACTGGACATCAACATTTTACAGTTAAGGAAAACTGAGGCCCCTATGTGCCCAAACCAACATTTGAATGTCCCTTCTTGAGACCTAAATTGGGCTGGCAAGTACTTTTTTTCCCCTTCATTTTGGCCTTTACAGTGAGCCATGCATTTCCCTAGGCAAAGAAAGCCCTAGATAAATTGAGATAGGACATGGATATTTATCCATCCTTCCTTCCTTTTGCTCTTCCCCCCCCCCCCGAAAAAAGGGATTCTGATCTCTGGGTGGTTCCTGTCCTAAGGTATATGGGACTTAATGTCACACCTCTCTGGAGTTTTCTAAAGAGAAATCTGAAATGAATAACTCATAGATAATGGAATTTCAGGCACTAGCACCAGGAAAATGGAATCATTTTGGTCATCCTTAAGGTGGATATATCTCAAGATGGAGTATTCTTTCACTAGTGGGGCTTGAGCGGGTAGTAGAGGATGACCAGCCAGACTCCAATGGGATTGGGACTCCCGTTCTTTGCCTTAGGTATTGCAGGTTATGCTTAGAGATCTCTGTGGAGTGAAGGATTGGGATTTAATGCAGATCCACTGTATCCTTGCAGAGCACGCACTAAAGAACAACTGGCAGCCTTGAAGAAACACCATGAAGAGGAAATCACCCATCATATAAAGGAAATTGAACATCTGCAGAAAGAAATTGAGCGGCACAAGAAGAAGATCAAACATCTAAAACATGATGATGATGATTAAACATACACACTTCCCATAGCATAGCTACATATCATTGCCCACTTCTATGGAAGCATAGTACTGGTTTTATTAATATCTATCTGTGTGCTGCCAACAGAGTATAATAAATTGTCATCAGTGAATTGTGTCTAATGCCTTCTTCCACTATCTGGAGAGGGGTAGGGGGACATACTACTGGACTTCTAAAATGAATCAGATAGGGGCACCTGGGTGGTTCAGTTGGTTAAGCTTCCAGCTCTTGATTTGGGCTCAGGTCATGATCTCAGAGTCGTGGGATCGAGCTCCCGCTTCGGGCTCCATGCTCAGGGCAGAGTCTGCTTGAGATTCTCCCTCTCTCTCTGCCGTCCCACTCGTTGCATACTCTCTCTTGCTCTCTCTCTCTCTCTCAAATAAATAAATCTTTTTTTTAAACAATGATTCGGGCGCCTGGGTGGCTCAGTTGAGCAACTGCCTTCAGCTTGGGTCATGGTCCCGGGGTCCTGGGATCAAGCCCCATGTCGGGCTTCCTGCTTCACCAGAGGCCTGCTTTTCCCTCTCCTACTCCCCCTGCTTGTGTTCCCTCTCACGCTGTCTCTCTCTCTCTCTCTCTCAAATA